TAAGGAATACCGATGTTTTCTATATTATAAAAAAATTACTTAAACTATAATTCTTATCTTAATTTTTTATATCAAACTTTTTTTATAGAAATTTTTATATCAAACTTTAAATATTTTAATTTTATTTTTAAATTATGATTTTTTATTTTCAACTAATCCTAAATGGTTTGAACATTTTTAATTTTATACTCAAATTGTATGATTCTCATTTTAAATTAATCTCTAAACTTTTGAATTTTTCAATTTTATCCTCAATTTCATCCAAATGTATATGTAATCAGTCTTGACCACAAATTAACCTATTTTTTTTAAACACGTAATAATATTGCTTCGCCTAACTGTTTCATTAGTAGGATATGTGATTAGCATATAACGATATTTTGGGATGAAACTGAACTGTCTCAAGTACAAAGACCAATTTAGAATGAGGGTTATAGTTTACGATAAGATTGAACATCATGATTTGAAGATAAAATCAAAATATTAATAGCTTTAAAGATTATTTTAAAATAAAATCCACAATTTAAAAATGTATGATACCATTAACTCTAAACAAATCATCCAAGGGAAAAGGCACTGCTAATCAGTATTATGATGATTGCTTGAAAGGATCTGATTACTACTTGATGTGGATGGAAAAAAATTCTCTTAATCGATCAAATCCATATTATGAAAGTAATGTAGTCAATTTGATTATCTTCGATTTTTACGATGACATTAAATTAATGGTTTGATTCACGAATTAATCTGGTTTAGATGCACTTATTTTCACATAAAGAGCTTATGAAACAATGGAGACTTTTAGAATCTATTGAATTAAAAGGACAATGTTTTTTCCCTCCAAACTCATCCAAGCCAAGTCCAAAGTATGAGCTTTACATACAAACCTAAAACTTTGAATCGGAATCCTTCCTACTTTCTTTTCCTTTTTCTTTTAAATAAAATTTTAATATTATAAATGCATTAATTAAATTAAGTCGACCATCTTTATAATAAACCTTTATAACTATAAATATAAATATAAATATAAATATAAAATGGATGGTGGCTTGGCTGCAGTCCAAGGTCAAAAAGAATATAAAATGGAGTATGTTATTGACTAGATAATATTTGTATAGATAGAAACATAAAATTAACTGACCATATTCTCATATATAATGGAGTTAGGGGGATGTAAGGTAGTAGGATGCCCCCAACGGGTTGAGAGCAGCTTCCGTAGAAGACCTCCAGTAGTCAGAATTATGAATTACCCACCATAGGATCGACGGGACTCGATCACACGACCACAAGATTAAGAAAGTTGTGCTCTACCTGAGTTGGGATTTAGAAATTGACAGTTTACGATGTGATTGTCTTTTTGGGTTTTAGTGGTTAGGAAGAGGTTGGTTTGGTCCCCTTGGCCTACTTGTCTCGTTGGTTCCACTTTGGTGAGTGCCATCCAACAGATTTCTCCCTTGGTTTTTCTGCCATTTCCACGGCTACTTGAAGTCTAAGCACCATTTCTGATCTATCTCCGGCTCACCTCTCACCCCGTCATTAGGTTTCACTCTCCTACGTTCATGGTTATATTGGATTAGGATATATAACCAAATATCTATTGATATAAATGATATATTTCTTTAGTTGAATAATTTTTTGTGAATAATTTCTACTTAAAAGATGGGAAGAAAATGTGTTCCCAACGCATATTGAACTCATAACTTAAAAGATTTTAACTCTATAAGGATTTGAATAATATTATCTAAAAATTACATTTAAATTAAATATTAAACATATTATCAAAGCTTTCAAATCGGTGCAAACTTTGACTTGATTGTTTGTCATTAAACCAATTATTTGTTGACTATCTCGATTAGTTTCGAAGTACTTATTTATCATTTGTATTTTAAAAGAATAATTTAGTAAATTGTAAGAGATGACCATCCAGTTCAATTGGTAGAGTACAAGATTTTTAACCTTGAGGTCGTGAGATCGAGTCTCACGGAGGGTATTTCATAATTCGGAGGTTTTCTACCGAAGCTGTTCTCAACCTAATGTTAGAAGCAACCTACTATCTTACCTCCCCTTACCCCATTATCTAATTTAGTAAGCTGCCACGTGTGGACTATCGGCATGAATCATTGATCTGATATACAAACATTGACAGAACACAATTTCTAAAAATTGAGGTGCGCACCACGATAATTAATCACCAAAATCCAATCGAATCTATAAGATGGAAAATGACAGCGTTCCTGACTACTACTTTCATTAATTTGATTCTTAATTTTTTTATTCATATTAATATTGAAGTTTAATATTTTTTTCTTGAATTAAACTGTATATCATATTATAGATATTAATAAAATCTAAATTCTAAGATTAATATGAACATAAAAAGTTTCAAGAATAAAATTAGACAAATATACCCACTCAAATATTAATATAAAGACTTAATATAAAAATAAGTGTTCAAACTAAACTATTTTTCTCAAACATGTGCTAAATCTTTTTTAAGTCAATCCATGTGTCTAACGTTATAAACATTATCATTTTAAGTACCCAGGTGGTAACTACCATTAAAAAAATTTGTGAAGTGACATGTGTCACGTTCTAATAAGTTTTAAAAACTATATTTAAATAAACTTGATAAAATTATTGTATTTATAAAAGACCTAATTTATCTAAAATTACCAAAATAAACTCAAATCCCTAAAATCATCATCAAATCTCTAACTCTAACCCTCACTTCTCCCTTGCCATTCACGGTCACTGACGTCATCGTCACCGTTATAATCTCCCTTCTTGACCATTTGTCTTCCTTATTGTCAATCGTACAATCGGGTCTCGTGGAATCACGCTAATGTCGCATTTTTTTCTTGTCATCATCTAGTTTAAATTGCGATTTGAGGTTCATCAGTGGTTGTTCATTAAGTGGCTAGTCGTGGGTCGGGGTTAGATTAGGTCGATGGTAACAACATTAGCAAAGGGTGGTGGCCGACGTTGGTATAAAGATTAAAAATTAAGGTTTTCAAAGTTCAGGGTTTTAAAAAAATATATTTGAGATGTGACACTTAACAGAATTATCAAAATTATCAAATAAAGTTTTTCAAAACTATCAAAATTTGACATGTGACACTTGACAGAATTTTTTTAACAGTGATTACGAACATGAGCGCCTAAAACAATAATGTTTGTAACATTATACACTTAGATTGATTAAAAAAATTTAAATACCTAGTTGAAAAAAGAGTATAGTTTAAGCACTTATTTTTATATTAAGCTTAATATATATAAAAAAGTTAAAAATTAAATTAAATAAATTTATAAAGGTTAAAAGATTGATCGTTAAAAAAGAATGAAAGGAAAAGAGAAATTGAAAATAGAGTCAAACTGTGTGATGGTTCAAGACGGTTATATGATATTGCACGTGGGTGACCGACCTACCAACTCCCAACCGTTTTCACATGCCATGGCATGCAGCATTTGGATTACATGCGAATCTGATAAGTTTTTATGTTATTTGACTTCATAAAATTAATTTTTAATTGAAAATTTAAATTCGAGTAGTGCTTGATTAGATTTTTAAAATGATAAAGTTGGATTAGATTCAAGGGAAAAATGTCTGATTCAATTTAAAATAATAGTATAATTTACCTTTATATATTTAGAGAATTATTATAATATTTCTATACTTTTAATTATATCTTTACTTTACTTTATAAAAAAGAAAATTAATATATATATATATATATCAAATCGAATCATATTTTGAATTGAGTGAAATTTCATTAAGTTTAAATCAAATTGAATGATGAATGAATGAGTATTATATTCAAGTTGAATTTAAGTGAATAAAAAATTCAATCTAACCCGACTCCTAATCATTCCTAATTCAAATACGTCATTTAAGTTGATCCTCGGGGGAATCAAGCATGCCACTGCTCCATGGTAATGTACCCTATGAATATAAATGCGGGAAAGAAGCAAATAGAACAAGGTTAAATTACTGTAACTAAATTATCAGTTTTGTTTTATTTTAATATTTAAATTTTTATTTGTTTTAAAACTATGTCTAACGTTAATTTTTGTTTAATTTTAATACTATGCTATTAAAAACTTAACAAAGCTACTACACGTGACATTTTTTATGGATAAATTACATCATTCATCACTTAACTATCTTCTCATTCTTATTTTGACCATTAATGTTTAAAAATTTTCAATTGAATTACCCAACTGTCAAATTGTTCATGTTTTAATAATTATAAATTTACTTTATTAATAAAACTAATAGTTTACGTACTAAATGTGTAGTTTATTGTAAAATCAAATATTTTGAGAGGATAAATTATTTAATTTAAAAAATAAAAAAAATATTTTTTAAAAATATTTATAGAACTTAAATTAGATCAATTCAAAGTGCCCATTTTCGTTAGTTCATTCTTTATAGGGTAAAGGGCACTATCCTGTCCGTAAAACTACTATTTTACTTGTGAATCATATGATACGGAACTACCTATATAGAATGTGTTAAACGTGTCGAAATACGGAAGGGAGGGACAATTAAAGTTCAAAACTCGTATATGTAATATCAGGATGATTTGGTACGAAGAATGAAAACGAAAACATAAATCAATAATTATGTAAAACACAATTTATTATTCTACAAAATAGATAGCTTAATGTAAAAAAATAGCTTAATGTAAATCCTCTGGTGATGTTGAGAGATACAAGGCTCGTTTAGTGGCTAAGCGTTACAATCAAAGGGAAGAGATTGATTACACTGAAACCCTTTCTCCTGTGGCCAAACTAGTGACCGTGAGAACTGTTTTAGCCCTTGCTGCTGCTCATGATTGGCCTCTTTACCAGATGGATGTGCATAATGCATTTCTTCAAGGAGACTTGTATGAGGAAATGTATATGGAGTTGCCATTTGGATTTTGCATTAAGGGGAGGCTACAGTTTGCAGGCTGCATAAATCCATTTATGGCTTGAAGCAAACTTCAAGGTAATAGAACATGAAGCTTACTGAGACATTGTTAAAGGCAGGGTACAATCAAAGCAAATCAGACTATTTTGTGTTTACAAAAAGGCAAGGTGACTAGATTGCTGTGATGTTGATATATGTAGATGTTTTGCTAATCACTGGGAATAGCAATGTTTTAATTTCAGAGTTAAAATTGTTGTTGAATCAAAATTTTCAAATGAAAGATTTAGGAGACTTTAAGTTTTTCCTTGGTTTTGAAATATTGAGATCCGAAAAAGGGATTTTATTGAATCAAAGAAAATATGCCTTGAAATTGATTGAAGATTCAGGTTTAGGGGAAGCAAAACCCGTCTCAACTTCATATACTACAGTAGATTTTGATAATGGGTTAGCTAGGGAAGTTGAAGATCTGGTTTTATTAGATGGAACTGTTTATCAAAGATTGATGGGGAGGTTTATGTACTTGACACATATAAGATCAGACACCACTTTTGTTGTGCAAAGCCTTAGCCAGTTCATGCATCAACCTAAGGAGTCACATGTGAATGCTGCCTTAAGGGTTGTTAAGTATGCAAAGAAGAACCCAGTGCAGTATTTGTTGTTTAAGGAATCAAAAAAGAAAGATATTACAACCTACTGTGATTTAGACTGGGCTTCGTGTCCAGTTTCTAGAAAGTCGGTAACAGGTTATTGTGTCAAACATGAAAAATCCTTGATATCATGGAAGTCCAAAAAACATAACACTATTGCTTGTTCCTCTGCAGAGGTAGAGTACATAAGTATGGCAACAACTTAATGAGAAGGTGGTCAGACGGACCCAACACCACCATGATTTCAAGGTGGTCAGACGGACCCAACACCTTAATGAGAAGGAACCGTGACCGAACTTATTAATGAGAAATGCCATTTTTGCACAAGTCATTGCATTTGGAAGGTACATTCCACCACATGTGGAGACTTAAACAACCTTAGAAGCAACACTCGGAAAGGATAGAGAAGATGAGCAAACGCAAGTGTCATCCAAAACAAAACCACCCATCAACGGGGACTGCGATGTTTAAGCAAAGTTCTTATGATTGTGTTAATTAATACCATGTAATCTTCTTAAATCCCTATTAATTTTGAAATTCTAGGATGTAATCTTCTTTCAATGTTTAATTTTAATTTCATCCCTATAGATCGAGGTCATATTTTATTATTATAGTGTCGGATCAATTAAAAACTAGTCCCGACCCGATTGTTGCCAACGCTATTTATGAGTTTTACTCGTTGCGCTTATTTCTGATGATGAGGGCATCCGAACAACAAAAGTCATTTGATGATTCAAATGCAACTATTGTAATAATTTTAAACTTATGAAGCAGATACACCCCTCCACTCCTTTACGTAAGTTGGGGTTCATAAACACTCGTATGGCACTCCCACGATGACAGTACCAATTCCACCTCAAATATCCCCCAATTTCATGAGCCTAACATAAATTTGGTGCCAAATTCAATTCTATCTTACCATCTGCAACTATCTATGCATGTGTTTCTATCATCATGAATCATGCATTAGTTATTTACTTGCAAGGTTCATATAAACATTTTGGGTTATACTTCCACTTCCGTTTGTTGTTCAGCTCCTCTTTAGATCAACAACTATGACACTGATGTTATCCGAACTATTTCGTCCCAAAGCCAGCCGAGTAAGCAGTGTGGCGGCAAGCACGCTGCGAGACGGATATAATGGTTCAGCCCCTTCTTCTTTTTGTGTTGGGTTCAACGCACCATTGCTTCCTTCTTTAAGGCATTCATGAGCCACTTCACAAGCCATGTCACTAGATAAGACATCCCACAAACCATCGCTTGCGAGAATTAAGCACTCATCTTCGGGTTCTCTCTTTGTGAATGTTATCTCCGGTTCTGATGTTACAACCGGTTTCAGGTATTTGTCTCCTGCTCAGAATCAGAGAGATTAAGCACTCATGGTAAAATCATCGCACGTCCCCCGAATTAGTTGAACATAACCAATATATTATACTCAATCCTAATTTCTTTCAGTTGTTTCTGAATTGGGAATTAATAGGACTACCTAGTATCTACAAGTTACAAATGTGTACTTGGGTTGATTTCGAGTTATATAAGATAGAGTATCCACAACTTACAAATGTGTGAGTATATATTTTAAGAGATGTAATAATAATCCATCTTGCCTATTGCCCCGGACATCGCAAGAATACCTTCAAACTCGAATAAACCAGAATGATAAGGAACCGTTACATCAATAAAACCTTACCTATTGCCCTGGACATGGCAAGAATGCCTTCAACTCGAGCTCCATTTACAAAGATAACCCGACCTCCAGCTGCTTCAATACGTGCAAGTTCATCGGGTCTGTCCGGCTGAAACCGAAACCAAAACCAAAATAAAAAATATTATCAAATAGTAACTCATTTAATCGTTTGAAAACATGTACAAAAAATTACTCCCAATCCTTATCGGTACTTATATAGGAGACAATTGTGCTTAAATAAATTCGAACCCAAGACCTCACAAAATATGTCAATCGGCATTTCTCACAAAACGAACCTTATGATCGAAACTCAGAGGAATGGCCTTCCCGCCTCGATAGAGGACGGCGCGTGAGTCACCGCAATTGGCGACCACTATGTGGTCCGGCGTCAACAGGGCTATCACGGCGGTGGACCCACCGAGGGCCACCTCCATAGAGTGGCACCCACAGCGGTGTCCCACGCTTCCACAAGCGCAAGTGCTCGTTGCCATTACATCCATCCTCTCGAAGCTTCTTTTCATAGCGCTTCTCCAGCTCTCCTCCACTGACCTGCTGTCTTTCCCACGATCGCTCTCTCCGTTGCAATTCACGCGCATCAACTCTTCCTCTACTAACACGTGCATCTTTTCCCTGCACATTGCTGCCACCTGCAGAAGAAAAAGGCTATTTAGAAAAGCTATAACTCAGAAATCAGATGGTGAAACGACAAAGTCACATGTGCTTCTGTTAACAAAAATAACGAGCAATCGCCATTTTTTATAATTCTCGAAGATCTTTTTATTTTTTCCAAAATTCATTGATTTCAAAGACAGAGAACTTTACATGAGAACCACCATGACCGTCGTAAACAGCGAAGAAATGAACCGGTCTCCTAAGATTTACATCAGGCCGGCAGAGTTCAGTCCGTACAAAAATGGCATCCTCCATCTCACGTGATCTCCCGGAAATCGACATCGTCCCGTAAACCGGCCCGTTACTAAAATCTGCTATCGTCTTCACCGCCGTCGATTCCTCCTCTCCGGAAGAAGTATGCGTACCGTTAGCCACTACCATATCGCCGGCGACCTCCAGCATACGCATCCGCTTCCCCTCGCGAACGTAATCCGAACTCTCTCCAGAACCCTCCGTTTGGCCCGGACTCCGCAACGCTCCAGCACCGGACGCTGAGATTGCCGCATGCCTCCTCAACTCGATCCTCCTCCTCCGCCGTTTCCGGCACTTTACCGACGTATCATCATCTTCATCGCTCCACATTCTGCTACAAACCTCCGTCATTTAAAATCTCCTCCGGCTAATATTATTCAATAAAAAAACTAACAGATCATTTCAAACTAAAAAAAAAATCAAAGCTTCAAAATACAAAAATATGATTTTTTTTTTCCTCAAAACTTATTTGAAACTTATGGCGGAAGGGGTAAACGTGTAGCGTTTATGTTGTAATTCTAGTGTTAAAACTTGTAAGCCTTCTACTGGGCAAAAGCTAGATTCGTGCGAAGCTTCTGCCCGTAGTTGCCCGATATGCTACCCGTTACCAACAACCAATTGTCGTGACACGTGTATAATCGGCGCTTTATCTTTTTGCCTGTAGAGCGTCTCTTTTCATTGTTTCTTTGTCAAGTCAATTTCGCGTATAGCGATATATTAGGGGGTACACATTTTCAAAAGGATCTGGATACTGGAAAAGCCGACACGTATAAAGGAAGCTCCCATATGTGGCGGCCCCGACCTCTTCAAAGTGAACCAAGTGGGGATAAGAGAGACAGACACATGTATATTTCTTAAGTTTCGGGGATGGCCCACATGGAATACGTTTTCTTTTCGTATGTTATTTTCTTTTCCAACCGAAAAAGAAATATAATTGTCTCTGTAAAAAAAAGTTTTAATTATCTTCCTTTTAAGAAAATATAAAAAAATAGATGACTAATGGCGTGATTTTATCATTTTTCTTTTAAGGAATATATAACCCCAAATCAAAAAGTTTCCTCATTCATAAACCTCATTCTATCTCTTTAAGCTTGTCTCTTTTTAACAAGAAACTTCAATACCGTTTCGTCGTCGATCGTTATTTCGTTTTTGACACCTCTCATATCATCGTGTTCCTCGAGCCGTCTCGAGTCTACCGGTGTCCATCTTATATCTGTTGACGTTGGCTTGTGAGGGGTGAGGAAGATCAAGTTTTCGACGTTGCGAAATTTAATTCTCTGTCGTTCATCGCTGTGAACCGAGCTTGATAAGTGTCTCAAAACCCCTTAAAACGCATATATGAATTTTTCCGTAAATTTTCCGATCCTCGAAGGCCCCACACGCACCCCCAAGCGACACCGCTGCGCGTATGTAAGGTTCACCACTTGGTGGGCTTCTAGAAGCAACCCGACCTGACCCGCATGCACAATCCGACCTGCCTGTTTGACCTGATCTAACTCAACCCGATCCAACCCGAATCGAATCGATTGACCCTTAACCATTGATTGATCGTTGATCGCCGTTGACTTTTTTTGACGTCTTGAGTCAGATTTTACAATTCGTTTTACCAAATTCTAATTCGAAAATCCTAAATCGAGCCCGTTAATAAAAAATGCTTAGTATTTTTAGTATTTTTGCTTATTTTTTTGAGATTTGGTTATGAAATTGATTCTAGTATATATTTTTATGAAGATACTCATTTTCCCCCGACTGAGGGACTATTAGATCTGATGCTTCCCGTCTGTTAGACCCACTCGATTCACGTTATTCGAGAGTTACTCGTAGGTTCCCGTAAATTATTTAAATAGAGGTTATTATTATTAATAATAGGATTCTTATATAGATTTTCCTATTCTTATGATCTAGTGCCGTCGCTAATCGTGGTTGACAGACTCGGTAGTAGGCTTCCTTATCAGACTATTCAGACCGATACAAGTGTGTTTTTTGATGATGTTACATTACTATTTTAAACTATTTATTTGAACTCTTTTAGATTTCTGATGATACATAATATTTTTACGGCACGATACATGATTTTCTGAATATTGTTTATCTAATACTTGATTTACTGTATATTTTTTATATGATCTTTGGTTACTATATTTATGTATCTGATTTTTTAGTATGGAATATTTTAACGTTTTAATGAGTTAAACTACCGTTTTCACTCAAATACATATATGTTTATTACTGTCATTAGGGTTATTATTAGAGAAAGTATATTAGGCATAGTCTATGACTTGTAAGACCTTACTGTATGCTCCTCTGCTTTGTGCACATGGTAAGTCCTTACTGCAAGTCTTTATGCTATATGTATAAGGCTCTTACCGGGTGTACATGTGGGTATATGGTTCTGGGGAACCTACATATTATGGTGTTCAGATGGGGGTAGTGTTCAGTTGGGGGTAAAACATGCTTAATGAATTAATTTTTACTGAAGTATTTTATATGTATGTTTTTATACACCGTAAGGAGCACACTGGGCTTTTTAGCTCATTTTGTAAATTTTAACATTTTCAGATAGTATCAGACCATAGACTATAAGACTTGGCATTAGGAGGACCAACTACTCCTATTTTTATACCATTGTATATCTTTATATGTCTTTAGTTATATTTTGGTGACACTTGTTTTTGCTACTGTCTTGGTATATTTGTATTATCGGTATTTTATTTTATATATATTTTATACGATTTTCTAATTTATGTATATATATATATATATATATATATATATATATATATGCGTGTGTTTATCGTATGAATCTTTCTTATGGCTAATTTCGTATTATACTTTTATATGAATTTTAACGTTGTTTTAAATATGAAAATAAATTATAAATATGATATGTAACCGCCCAAATTTGATCATAACGTTCAGGTCGAGTCTAGGATGTTACACGTTAAAAGACAGAACTTAAATTTAACCGTTCAATTAATTGAAAAAAAATTAGTTTAGTCGGTTAATTCGGTTCTAACCAAACTATAAACACCTTAAAGAAATGTAGTAAGAAATATATTTAAATTGGATTTTTCACTTTTAATCAATTTTCAATTAGAGAAGAATAGTCTTCAATGGAATTAATATATATGATAAAATTTGTATTTTTCAAGGTTATAATTCACCAGATATCTTTATTTCCTTTTTTATTCTATTTATTTACTAAACGAGTGTATCATAAATTTTTCAAATTATATCAAATGAAACGTAAACTATAAAATTTAACCGTATTCAATCACTTTGTCTTTCCTCCCTCTTTTAGTTTTTATTTTTTAATTAATCTGAAAATATATAAGATAATATTTGTTTAAATCCAACTCTAAATCATTTGAAATCGAATTCAAAACTTCAAAGAATAACAAAAATTTCTTTATCACTAATATCATTTGGTTCGTGTTTTGTATCTCTTTTAAGAGAGACTAATTTGGTCACTTGCAAAAAATACAAGGGACCTGGCTAACAATATTTACACCGTTTATCTTTCTTTCTCTCTCCTGGAATTGCGCGGCCTTACACATGTGGCGGAATGTGGAGAAACCAGCGCCGCGCATGTAACTTCCGGTGTCACAAACCACTGCGGTCGGGATTTTTTTTTATCGTTTTTCTTTAAATTTTTGCTGTCTATTCCTTCCTTTAAAGAGTCTTTTATTGATAAAATGATATTAAGATAGTGAGGAAGGGAATCGGATTTTCTAAGGGTGTATTTCATTTTCAATGTTTCTAAAATAGTTGATGTTAAATCTTTTATTATTCCGGTTTTAAATTATTTTTATTATAAAATTACTATTTTTCATCAATATCCATATCCTAGAAATCACAAATGAAATTAAGATGATGAAAAATAAAATTAAAAGGACACATTTTGATGCGTTGAGGATTGTGTCAAATAGCGTGGTTCTTGTTCTTGCGTTTGGGTAATGAAATTCTTTTCAACGTTAATGTCACAACAATCATTATTCAATTCAAACAAAACCTAGGTTGATTGGTCCAATCAATACAGCTGGGTTTTATGTCATGATTGGTCCAATAATATTGTTTAGGGTTGGATTTTCAACGAAAAATCAATTAAATTAATATTTTTTTATGAAAAAAAATCAGTTGATTTTTAAAAAAATAATAAAAATTTATAATTATCAACGTAAAAGCATTATTTTCCAGTTTCTGCTATCAGGGTTCTCCCTGATATAAAAGGAATTCTTAACGAGACTTAATATTATATTAAAAATATATATAGATACGAATATATATGATTATATCGGTAAATGAATTATAATATGAGATCAATTAAAAGATCACTAAAAATCGTAAATCATAGAGTCGATCATCGTGAGAAAATTATCTCCGAACATTACGTATCCAAATCCAATATAAAAGTTTAAAACAAGGAAGAACAACAAGATAAGAAATAAACGTTATCTCCATCAATCCATGAATTTTATGAAACAGCAATCGGGGGGAATTTTCAAAACTTGAACGTTGTTCAATGAACATATGACAACAAAGCTAATTAAGTAAAGCTTTGCTTAAATAACTGACATTAAGATTTGTTAGACCTACCTACCACCTGCATGTTTTGGTGAGTTGGAGGATTCCTAATTAACAACGTGTGTCCTATGCTAATTGGCAGAAGGGTCACAAGACAGAGTTTAATTTGTAAATGTTTTAGTTAATGAAACTGTAAAACTACTCTTTTGACCATCTTACGAATTTATAATATAATTTTGACTTTAAAAATATACATCAAAATAATAATATATAGTTTTAATAAGTGTAAAATACATATCGTATAAACATAAACCTAATTAATCTTGAACAAGATCTATACATGTTAAAATTTAAATTATACCAAATTTAGACTGAACACGTACTTGATCAATACATAGATTAAGTTGCTATGTTATAATTCATGTCACGAGGCCCGACATAGTCTCAAGACAGGCCTTAAGCCATCTTTTAGAAATAAAATTGGGCTCTAAGTTAAAGTAATCGAATAAATTGAATAGGAATTAAATCAAGTGTTTACTTATATACGTATATTATAGTTTAAATAATATAAAAATAGTTATATTATAATAAAATGATTATTAAATTTTATGTAACTATTACAAAATAATCATTAAATCTATCAAATTTTTACACTTATAATAACCTCACAATAATCATTTTGTAATAGTTCAATAAATTTAATTATTATTTTATATATATTTTTTAAAAAATTAATGAAAAATAATTATTTAAACATAGTTCAACTATCTTTAATATATCTGACCTAATATTTATCTTATATAATTCAAAACATTCCATTACCATTCCATCGAAGAAGATGATGAATTACACGTGTATTGTTCAACTTCATGCACGCTGAAATGGTAAAGGAGCAAGGACAATGCAAC